AAAGACTTCCTATTATTGAGAAGCTGCAGAACTCAGTGACACCATGCACCTCTCAGATATAATAAATCATAAACATTTAATTTATGATAATTATAACATCAATGGTCAGGTTATAGACAGACGTACCTCTTATAGAGACCTTGGAGTCATTTTTGATACCAAGCTAACGTTTACTGAGCATATACTCAATATCTCGTCGGCTGCCACTCGACTACTTGGTTTCTGTATCAGAAACTGGAAGGGTTTCTCCAATGTTGATACATTAGTGACTTTATTTTTTACTTTTGTCAGGAGCAAGTTGGAGTATGCGACTCTGATCTGGTCTCCTATATACCAAAATTCTGTCGTGATCCTTGAGGCCATTCAACGTAAAGCTTTAAAGTATTTTCACCTTAAATGCACAGGTTCTTATCCAGAAAGAGGTTGTGACCATAGTGCCCTATTAGAGTCTTTCAATTTGGATTCACTGTCAACAAGACGAAACATATTTGCTTTGTCGTTTTTGTATGACCTCATTCACAATAAAATTGACTGTCAAAATTTACTTGGAAAAAATATGTTTCCGCGTTCCAAGGCTAGGGAGTCGACAACAAATGACATTCTATTGTCAAGCTGGCCGTACAAATGTTATGACAAAATCGCCAATTAATCTCATGTGCTGCGTCATGAACAGTTACTGAATCGTGTGATATTTACAGTGACAGTTGTGCATCGATTATTAACTGTTATAGATCATCCAATCTTATTTAGAATGTGTGATAGTATAGATTTAAGTCCAAGAACCATGTCTCTTTAATTGTTATTTTTTTCAGCGTTTCCTGTAATTGGGTTTCACCTGTTGGAAATAAATAAATAAAATCAAAATAAAATAAAATAAATAAAATATAGTTTGATATGCAGAGGTCGAGAATTCACCGTACCTAATCATGATTCGATTTACTCATCCCTTTTCTTTGAAACCTCTAACAATGGCGTAGGAAGTATAGAGTCAATTAAGTTGACGGCATTTTTGCTCGAATTTCTCAAAATCTTTATTTAGTAGACACCTTGTATATTCGAGATATATAGAGTCAATTAAGTTGACGGCATTTTTTTCTCGAATTTCTCAAAATCTTTATTTAGTAGACACCTTGTATATTTGAGATACTGCTGAACACCGCACATCACACATGATATATACCTTCCCAGGAAGTAACTCTGCGACAAAGCAAGTAATTTGCATAATACATACAAGTGATACACGAATCGAAAGTATATAGGAACTTTTCCTTGGTTATCATCTTGGGTATGCACTGTCTCCGTATTTTGTTGTAATACGTAAAGTTTTCTAGAAGAGAGGCATGTCGCGTGTCACAAGAATAGTGTAGAAAGGTAGTGGTTTATATATTTTATTAGATAAGTTGGATTGCATGTCGTATGTCACAGAGGTAATGTAGAAGAATGCATATATTCTACTAGATTCTATGTGAATAACAGGAAGCACCTATCTCGGAAGCCATGTGAGCAGGTCTCTTATGTTTTATAAGGCGCTCAACTGACATGGAATGGAATCTAGTGTCCTCGTGGGTTGTAATTCAGTCCGTCTTTAGATAAAATAGCACGTTTTAGATCAGAAGCTAAGGTCAAATGATGTTTCAAACCAGAGTTCCCCAAACTTTTTTGTGTCGTAGACCACTTGCCATGTTTTTCCGTGTTGGGTAGACCCCCTACTTACCTGATATTGATTTCCTGTAAATTTATAACTGTAGTGAAGTTTAGTGTTAAAAACTTAGAGTAAAAACACATGTTAATTTATACATCTATTAATTGAATTTAAATTAAAACTACTCAAAATAAAATTTTGTATCTGTTATGTAAAATATACGTAACATTAAATAAACAGGTGTCTGACCAATAAGTGCCGGCATTGGGAATACGTGCCCGCATTGAAAAAAAAAAATAAGAGGGATAAAATAAAAAAAAAGTGAAAAATAATAAAAAAAAAGTTTTTTACTTAAAATAGTACAATAAGCGAGTTCGTTTATTAATTATAACATAAACGTATGTTCTACAATAATTTCACTGTTAGTTTGATTAAATTCCGCTTCTTATACGTTTAAGTTATCTAAAAATAGGCAAAAAATTAACGAATTTTAGTGTGTACCTATCCTTGAATTCAATGCGGGCATTTATTGGTCAGACAGCAATAAACATAAAATAAACTATAAATAAAATAACAAGCAATAAGTCAATATTTTGTGAGAAGGATGAACCTGATGCCTTAATAATAAATTATCAACATTTGGCGTCAATTTTGTAAGGGTTAATCTTAAATCTCCTCGGCTAATGATGTCCAGTCTGTTTCTTTTTTTCGTTAGGAGATTGGTAACAGCGCTGAACCCCCTTTCTACTAGGTATAACGATGGAAAGGAAATAAAAAATTTCGTCGCTATATTCCATAATACCGGATAAGTAAAGGGTATGTTGTTTTGCAGCCAGAATTGCTGATATCCGTTTTTAAACTGAACCTTAAGTTCTTCGTTTGTACTTAGTTCAGTCAGTTCCTCTTGTATTATGACATTCGTTTCTTCTATGTCACCATATGGATTAATTATCCACGGTGGTATTACCATAGTCAAAATATCCTCAAACCTAGATTCAAAATCGGAATAGAGGGCATTTAAATGTTGAACGTAAGTTGAAACGTCGTCTTCCTGGCAGCTTGTCTGTGACAAATTGGGGAACTGAGAAAATTCGCCCCGTCCAATATTTTGCTTCATTAGTTTAACTCTGGCAAGAAACGCTGATAAGATGGACTTTGTTTTAATCAAATTTAAACTGTCGCCTTGTAATTGCAAATTAACCATATTAAATTTTGTAAACAAATCTGTTAAATAGGCGATGTCTGTTTTCCTCTTCATTAAATTTTCTTTTAAAATTTTATCTTTAGTATCCAGAAATTCTAAAATAGTCTCAAAAAGTGCAAAAAATCTTGTCTAACATAAGCCTTTCGACAGCCAGCGTACTTAAGTGTGAGTAATTGATGAAAGTGTTCGTCATTTTCTTCACTCAACTGCGCAAATAACCGCGTATTCAACTCGTTGCTTCGGATTCGGTTTACTGCATCAATGACTCAATGAAGTGATACATGCAATCTAACACTCAAATTTTTAGCAACTAAATGTTGTCGATGGATGACGCAATGTATTGCTAACACCCCTGACACATTTTGTTTTAAATAGCTTATAAATCCACGATAACGTCCAACCATGGCAGGTGCTCCATCTGTAGCTACTGATATTATATTTGATAAAGGAATTGCTTTTTCAATGAAGTAATCCTTCAAAACATGAAATATTGATTCACCTTTAGTGTCGGTTACTAAAGTTCTTGCGAAGAGCAGTTCTTCGTAGATTTCTTGATTCATAATAAAACGAACATACGCCAATAATAATGCTGCATTATCAGGTAAAGTTGACTCGTCCAGTTGTATAGAGAAATGGGTCGTTTGCAAATAATTATATAAGAAGCTTTCAATATCAGAACTCATTTCATCAGGTAATGATATCAGATGCAGGTTTGTGTAAAACAGCTTTTAAAACCTCTTCAACGGCTGGCAAAATTAACTTCTCCCCGATAGTATGCGGTTTTCCGGATTTTGCTATAAGTAACGAGATATTGTAAGACGCCCGCAAACCATCATCATTTCTTTGTGACGTCGAAGCGAACATTCTGTCCAGTGTAGGTCTCTTCTGAAATTTATCTTTGAGTGTTTGAAAGTATTTCAAATCTTTCTCTGTTTTATCAGGGTGGCATCTTCTCAGATGATCTTGCAGTTTAGATGGTTTCATAGCGTCTTTTTTTTTATGGCACTAGGACTATGTCCCATTAACCAGATCCTTTTTTACAATTTAAACTTCTCTAACTAAGTAAGGATGGAATTGGACAGGGATACACTCTTCTCGCCTAAGGACCCATTAAGGCATTTTCAGAATATGACACATAACAATTAGGCCACGGCTAGGATTTCATAGCGTCATTGCCCAAAACTATGTTGCATAAAAGGCACATAGGCGATTGTTTGTCCGGCAATGATGGAGTGAAGCCAAATTTCAAATAATCAACACTGTACTGTCTACATTTCTTTTTAGATTCGGACATGGCATCAGTCATCTGTGGGCAAAATTAAATTATTTAAATAAGACAGAAAATCCAGCAGCTGTATATTAAAAATATTTTTGGATTTTTCCGAAAACATTCCATAATTCGAACATATTCTTGCAACAATTAGCTCGAATTACGGAGATTGCACTGTAATTATATTACCGATTGCTAAAACTTTCAAAAAGAAACTATTGAGGAGTACTCGTGTAATTTTGCATGATTGAATATTTAACTACTAATAACTAAAGTCATGATTGGCGTAATTTACCTATCTTTGCTAACTACGAGTACAAAACTAAAATTCAATAAAAAATAATGTACTTACTTTTCTCCAGCACTCTCAAACAAAATAACACTGACTCACTATAATTTGTGTGATATACTATCTGTTTATATTTTTTTAAATATTTTCTTAGCACTTTCCTTTTTAAGATTCAGGAAACGAATAAACGTATTTGTCCCACATTCGTATTTATAGAGTGACGAATTGAACAAGTCAGTGCAAGATAGCGAAGCTCTGAGACTGCGACTCTCAGGTTTTTACAAGTTCAAAATGTATTACGACCACAAAGCGAATACCAACATCCTACAATTTACACAATTTTGTAAACATATATAATAAATTTTTTACTTCATAGGTACTTTTATAAATAATGTATATGTTTTGATATTATAAGATAGTATGATGTAAGTAAATAGGTACTATCAGTGTATGTGTTGAGATCCACTATCGTGGACCCCCATATTCATTTCATGGATCCCCAAATTTTTTTTCGCTGACGTAGACCCCTAGGGGTCGATATAGACCACTTTAGGAATCAATGTTTCAAACAGTACATATTCTAACGAAAACACCATTTTATTGTTCAAAGTCTAATTTATAACACTTGCAAATCATTTATAACAAATTTTATAGCCATGTCGACTCGGCTATTATTTCAAGTGTAATTCCGTGTTTGCTCTTCATTGGTTCGACTGTGTCTCGACTATGACCAACTGCTTCTGCCATCTGCTCGGGTATTTATCCCCTTATCGATGCGCCGTAAAATGGTCCAGCGTTCGCCAGGGCAAGTCGTGAACTTCCATTGAAGTAGTCCAGATGGTACGGTCGCATAACTGGTTGTATAAACGTCGACTCTGCAAGGTGACTCCTCGCCGCTCTACACCCCAGCTATACCGGTCAATGAATAGGGAGGTTTTGAATAACAAAATTTCACAACAAGTGCAACAGAATTTTTTGTGATATCCTGAGAATATTGCTTTCCAGTTATAAATTCAAATTGACGTCATGGTAGGGCTGGAGCACCAGCTGCGATTTTTATAACCACATTTGATCAAATATCCTACGAAAAAAAGTGATCGAAACTAGAGCGTATGGTTTTTTGTTAGCTTGATGGTTCTTGATGTATAAGGAGTGAGAGTTAAAAATTCGTATCAAAACACCCATCCGCTAGGTATGTTGTTTACGTGTTCACATACAACATTATTTCAGGTGGGGATAAATCCATAATCATTATCTGTGATCAATGTGAATCAATTTTGTTTATTGCCACGCTTAAGTATGGAAAATCCAATTTTTCCGGATGATTCTTGATGTTGTCAGTATGATAATTCAAGTCACTCACTTCCATCGGTATACCTACAAGCAATTTTGTCACTCCGTAACCTCAGCATCCATTGCAACTATTTTAATTTTTTTTTATACTCCAACTACCACGAAGGCCTAAGGCCTAAGCACCCATTGGGTACCGTGGGGCTATGGGGGATACATGGGAAAGGGGGCACGCCACACGGACTCTGGCGAGGGAACACGTGTGCATGCAACATGCACACATTCTGGCTCCGCCTACGAGAACCGCCGGGTGGTACCTCCGCGTTCGACAGTCAGAGACCATCTACCACCTACGGACAATCACAACATCCATGGCCAAGAGAAACATTTCTCCTGGGACGGGACTCGAACCCGCACAGCGCACGGCGACTGATCAGGAGACCGAAGAGTTTACTACTGCGGCCTAAAACAAACACACAACATCCATGGCGAAGGCGAGATTCGAACTCGCGGCCCGGCCGGCCGGCTGATCAGTAGCACGACACTCTGACCCACGCGGCCAACCGAGGTCCCAGAAAAGGATGTAGTAAATAATGATAATAATGGCATATGACATCGCGTACAGACCAATATCAATGCTGTGTACCGTCTGTAAAATTCCCGAAAAAATCCTCAAAATCAGAATTGTGAGCTACGAAAAGAAAAACAAACTATTGTCGGTCTATCAGTTATGATTTGTGGACGATAATCCAACTCAAGATGCGATGTCTCACCTACTGTCAAAACTTTATACTGCAATAGACAATAAGGAACCAGCTATATGCATCTTAGTTCACCTTGATACTGTTGACCATTACCATTTATATTTTAGAAACATTGGAATTCATGGGTTTCAGGGGTAAGCTCGCGCCTTTGGTATAGACAACTGCGTGTTAAAATTACTAATATTACAAGTAGTCCTCTGAAGATAAGCTGTGGGAGTTTCCCAAGGTACCGTACTTGCTCCAATTCATTTCATCTTTTATATAAACTTCCTACCTAGCCTACCAGGTCTCGCAGAAATGTTTAGCCTCTGATCACAAACACACACAAACAAAAAAAGGCATAGCCATATTAGATTGCTTCAGTAGCTAAATCCTGACAGTGAGTATGAAAAAAACACTTGCCTACCTTTACCAGTTACTCTGCAAACTTACCCGATGTATATTAATCACGATGACCAAGAGCTTAATCCGACAGGCGCACATTCAACCAATTAGTTAGGTATTCATCTCGATTGTCATTTAAAATTAACATACAAATAGTCTCATGAAAGAGCTATAATATAGCTTCGCTCAGTGTATTATGCATTAGTATATCCGCATCTGACTTCTGGTATAATAGCATAGTCCTCACTTTACACTGTCAATGCGAATGAACAACTACGAGCCCCTTCCCACTTCAGTTGGCCCACTCCAAGATTTGTACCAAAATATGCATTTATAAACTAATCATGACGAAACTATTTACTTCTAAAACAATTTATTTTCTCAAAAAAATTTTAGATACACTTTAGTCGCAAAAATACATATTTGAAATCACTTAGACCTATAACTAATAGAACATCTGAACATATAAACAATGTGCGAATAAATGCGCGAAGTTGACAAAGCAACAACTGAAAGATTACCATTGGGTAACATCACCTTTATTTTTTATTACGGCTGAAATTCTTTGGGGCAAAAATTTGGTGTAAAACAATCCCATATTTCTTGAAGCTTTTGTCTCAGTTCGGTGATTGTACGAGCAGGATGTTGTCGTAGAACCTTTTTCATCTTGTGCCACAAAGTTTCAATAGGTGACAGATCTGGACTGCTAGAAACCCATTTCAAAAGTGGTACATTATTTTCCTCCAACCATTTTATAGCCTTTTTTGAGGTATGGCGCGCTGCAACATCTTGCTGAAACACAAAATCTTGGCCGGATGCCAAACATTCTTCCATCACTGGTAAAAGCGATTCTTCTAAAATTGCCAAATATTTGTTTGTATCCACATTTCCATCAATAAAATGAAGTTTTCCTACTCCTTTTGATGACATACTGCCCCAGACCATAATGAATGCTGGAACTTTCAATTTTCTCTTCAGAGATTCACCATGGAATGCTTAATTTTTTTGCAAATATCTCTACTGCGACTGTCACTAACACAAACTTCGAATCGGGCCTCATCACACCATTGCATTGCACACCATTGTTGAGGTGTCCATTGTCTATGTTCTTTAGCCCATCTAAGCCGATTTTTCTTTTGCAGTGGAGTTAATAGTGGTTTTTCTTTGGCCTATAAACAAGTTGTGCAACTTTAGGGTTTTACTTCACTTTTTTTTATAAGACAACTTACCTTGCAAGTGCCACATCCCAGTTTGTGGGCCTTTCTATGAGTTGTGGACCTCGAAATTCTCCTTCCAACAGCGTCACTCTACAGAGCACATAATTGTAAATAATTGGCACGCCTGTTTTTCACGAGTATTCTTCTTACTGCTCTTCGGTCGGTATTTGTGATATCACTTTTTTTTCACATATCGTGGGTTAATATTAACTGAACCAGTTACTTAATATCTTCTAACAATATTTCTCACACTGTACCGCGATAAGTCTAACAAAGTTGCAATTTCTGAGTTTGATTTCCCAGAATTAAAAAATTTAATTATCAGTAACCGAATTTTCTCACTAATAACCTTTACTCTACCCATTTTGAAAACCTTAACTACGTAAAACCATTTTAAACGAATTCTGACAGCTGTGATTAATAAAAACAATTGTCATGGCTTTTATTTTTCACAGCCACCTATGCGTTATAGACTTATTTTGCAACATGTGTTATTTTTATGCTGCAAATTTGATTAGGAAATGATAAAGTTGGTGTTTTCTATTATATATTATCAAAATATTCATTGTTAATATTTTAAACCTATAACACCCTGCTACATTTTTATTATTTGTGTTTGAAAGAAAAAAGCTAAGATTTCAATAGTTGGGCCAACTGAAGTGGGAAGGGACTCGTAAATCATCAGACGTGCTGCTGGTGGCTACTATGCACTCATTGACATGTCTCAACATGCAGTACCATGCAGCGTCCTGCGTCCGTTTGTTGAGTCATATTGCAAAACTTTTATAGTACCCTTTTATAACGTCACTACCTTAAAATTGTGTTTCATATTCAGTCAATGCAAGGGTTTTAATTTATGGCTAACTCTCTCATATTTGGATATGCCGTATACAAGTGTTCTGAACTCGTTGTATTCGAGATGATTCGTGGTCTAAGTAAGGTGAGTAAATAGGAATAGCATATGAGATCAGAGATCTACAACGCAATCTTTTAGTTTCACATATATGATAGGTTCTATCGGGATATAAAGGTTTTAAGGAATACATTTGCCAATATGTTATTTGAATCTTAAGTTATTGACAATTATGAGGATGGATTTATCATTGCAAAGCAATATTCTAACAATACCAATGAAACATTCTTCTGCTGCACTTTTTCTTTAAGAGTAAATTACCTAATCCGTGAGGTACTAGTTGGTTACTAAGTTTGGCATGAAAGGCTGAAACTTAGTCCTTGCACATGTTGAACAATCTGGAGCTATTAGGATATTTCATTGAGCAAATTACATATTTTGAAATCATTACCGCCAACCGCGTGTGACTGGGCTAGATTTCAGAGTTAGTTTTTGTGGATTTTTGTTATTTTTATGTTTTTCCCCACCTGTCGTCACGAAACTTTTAGAATGGTTCGCTTGACTATTACTAATAACAATTGTAACGTTTGACTCTAATCCAAAATTTAAATCGTTTGTTATATGGTTTAAAATGATTTGGCTCGGCTTGATAATACGTGGACCTATCTCCAGACCAAGTGGCATATTCGCTTGAAAAGCAAATTCAGGTGGAACCTTCGAAGAGGTGGGGCACACACAACACAGTGTAGAAAAATAGAGCTTCTATTTGATTTTTTATTTATTTTTGATTGCATTGATGGAATAACAATATTGATTCTATGACATAAATTGCATTTTATATAGTCTACCGTTGTGTTTGTTAAATGTATTTACCCATAAAATTGTGAATAAACAGTTTGTTGAAAGTGTTTTTGTTATTACATATACATACGGACATGTAGAAAAATTAAAACACTAGCTGACTGTAAGCTACCACAATATACAGGATGTAGAAATTTATACAGGGTGTAAACGTTATGGTAGTCATTACTGAAATGCGTAATAGGGGAGTCAAAACAAGTCAAAAAGTTCATATGACCCTCGGTCTAAAAGTCAATAGATTTTTGTCTAAATGGCCTTTATAGTTCACAACTTTAAGTGCTTTATATCGACCCCAATTTTACTAATTTTTATATTCTATTCTAAAAAGTTTTTAAATTGAGTAATTAACAAGTAAATGGCATTAAATTTTTCTACGTTAAGTCAAAATTTGAAGTCAGTAAGTAAGTAAGTTTCATTAAATTGAATATTTAAAACATACAAGACAACAGCGCGTCGGTCTTTCATCACTCTTATCGAACTGGCAATCGATCGCAAACGGTAACAGTGGTTAGTTATCGGGATCGGGCCTGTTGTTTTGTTTTTGTTCGCGTACTTCGTTGTGTTTATTTACAATGTCCTCGAATCAAGAGTTCGCCGGCCTGTTGTTAGTTTACGGTGAAGCTCGTCAGAATTCAAATCTTGCAGCTCAAATTTATCGCGACAGATTTCGCCAACGGGTACACCCAGACAGAAGGACATTTGTGCAAGTGTACCAAAGACCTCGAGATACAGGAAGTGTTCAGCTCACTAATATTCGCACTCGTGAAAGACAGGTTACTGTAGAGCAGGAGGAATAAATTTTAAATATCGTGGAAATCAATGCAGATATCAGCACTCGGGAATTAGACCGCAGCGTAGGACTATCGCATACCATAGTCCATAGAATCCTACGGGAAAATTTGCTTTATCCCTACCATGTACAACGAGTGCAGGCCTTGTTACTAGAAGACTATCCTCGCAGACTAACATTCTGTCAGTGGTTTTGGCACAAAAACATTGAAAACCCAGATTTTTTTAAAATCATTCTAACCACGGACGAATGTACTTTTACGCGAGACGGGATATTAAATTTCCATAATACTCACATGTGGGCCCAAGAAAATTTTCATACCATTCGTGAAGGTCATTTCCAACAACGTTTTAAAATAAATATTGGGGTGGGTATTCTTGACGATCAGGTAAGGTCCTTTCGAGTTACCCCCAAAGTTGTCAGGAGAAAAATACCTTAGCTTTCTAGCCAATAACCTACCAGAACTTTTGGAACAGACCTTAGACAACATGCCATTACAACGGAGACATAATTTGTGGTTTCTTCATGATGGGGCACCACCACACATTTTTAGAGGCGTCATTCAGTATTTGAATGAACATTATCCAAATCGCTGAATAGGTCGAAATGCTCCTGATCCTCGAAAATGGCCAGCAAGATCTCCTGACCTCAATCCGATGGATGGTATTGGGGAGAACGTAAAGGGATGATTTATGGGGCTGGTCCAATAACAACTGAAGCACAACTTCGCGAAACAATTTTTAATGCGGGTGAAATAATAAATGGACAACTTCGAGGACCTAGAGTAAGAAGAAACTGGGTTCGTCGTAATGAAGCTTGTGTGGAAAGTGGAGGACGACATTTTGAGCACCTTCTTTAAATACAAAAAAGTGCAGTGTGGGTTTTAAAAAGAAAATAATGTATGTTTCAAAATTGTGTACCCTATTTATAAGTGGATTTTCTTAATACATTCAGTAGACTTTCACACACCAGGTGAAGCGCTGAGACAGTTAGTGGTAAGTCCGTTTTTTTAATTGTTTGCATTTTACGGGTATATTATCAAATAATGAAATAATACCTAAGAGTCAAAAATAACAAACTCCATCTTTATTTACACTGCGTTCCGTCGTAATTTGCTTCTGGCATTGCGGCGTTGTCAGATTTTATTTTACTTTAAAGCCGCTTTTCTATAAAAAATGCCATTTTGACCCCCATGTTATATGAAACTTTTTGCTTATTTTAACCCCATGTATCACCCATTTAAATAATGACCATAATAACGTTTACACTCTGTATTAATACCTTTTGATGGACAGATCTGCTGTTCAGTTGAAACTGCTTATTGCATCCCATAGAAACCTTCACAATGCTTCGCAATTGTCTGCAACACTAGGATTTATATAACCAACGCACTTTCATATGAATTCTCAGAAAAATAAGAATTTAATTTGAAATGTCAACGACTGTCAACCTGGCGGCTTGAGCTTGATTGACTTGTAGTATGAACTTACATCATATCTTGATTACTGACTACGCCATTTTCGTTCAAAACAAATCGTTTGCTTTATCTTTCTACCTAGCCCGAATTCGTTGACTTTAACTCTATAGCAAATTTTGAAAAAATAAGAAGTATACATACGCATTTATAAGTAGCGACTCCGTGCTAGAATCTTTTTAGTGGGGTATCAAAACAAAAAATCCAATATCATCCCTTTGACGTAATACGGATTATTAAAATACTTGGAATCTCACCCTTTGATGGATATTACAAATTCCGTTATCGTCCCTCGGTGAATACACTAGTTAATTGGCCCGAGACGCCGAGTGAGAGGCTACGTACAGGTGGAAAATGGAAATTCCCTTGGAAAACCATCCTAACATTTATCTATACTGAGTGACAAAAAAAGGTAAGCACCTGCGTATGTTTACTAGAATTCAAGAAGTTTTGACATATCGATTTATCTAGCCATGAACAACAAGTGATAGAATGGCCAGGTTTTACTGTTCGCTGCGCGCCTTGTTTGGCGATAAAGAAGCATTCAGTTCGTACATTCACGGTGACAGCTAAATGTTAAATTTGGTGTAGCTTATTGAGAAGCCTTTTTGTGATTGCTCAAAATGCCTAGGGTGCGTAGAATTCGCCAGGTGTCTCAGCTAAATGACTTTGAGAGAAACTACAGATCCTTACGCGGTATACTGCAGTGTGAACGAGCGTCGACTCAGGAAGGCCGAGGACAACGAGCGAGGGGTTCTGGAATGAATGAATGAACGAATGAATCGTGAAATTAGAGGCATTCCGGCCACCATAAGGAGCCAGTGTATATGCCGCTTAAACGGGCCCTTATGCACCTCTACATTCCTTAGATCACAAGCCATGCCCTTTTAGCGAAGTTGAGAATCGCCTTGAGTCCAAGCTCCTTGAAGTCCTGAGGGTCCAATGTAACAGACCCCAGTATAGTCTGCCTATAGCAGCTCAGAGCTTCACAGCGACACAACGCGTGCGCTGAGGTCTCTTTCTCTACCTTGCAGCGCTTACACAAGGGATCCTCAGCCACCCCCATCACGTGCAGGTGGCGCCTTAACGTGTTATGGCCAGACAACAGTCCCACCAGCAACCTTAGGTTGGCTCTATCCAGAGATAAGCAGAAACGTCCATCCTTAGCACTTGCAATACAAGACTCGAAGTAATCTTACAGGTACTTAGTGCCTTCATTGCAGCTTGGCTGTCGGATAAGATTGTTATTCTTCTTCTAGGCCCACCCTCCTCCAGAATGCGAGATACACAAGCCAGAATCGCAAAGATTTCCTCCTGTAAAATAGTGGTGTATCCACCGAGGGGCGGAGATATCCTCGTTCTAGGTCTAGAGACCCCAGCACTTGAACCCTCTTCGGTCACCCGGAGAGTCTCCGGCTACCGGCGACCCACTCCTCCCTCGTTGAATACTCCACAATAAACTTTTGGGGTTAATACGATCACCTCTACTTAGACGGACGAGGTCCTCGCTTTGCAATTCGACTAAGATGGCAGTATGCCCCTTGACAGGATTCAAGAAGGCCCTGCTGCCCTCCACAGTCGATGAGCGACTACTCTCGTCTCACCGCGGATCACCAGATCCAACGGTGAGAGATCCGACAGAGTTTCCATTGCTCTCAATGGCGTTGTACGCACTGCGCTTGTAATGCTAATACAGGCCAAATGCTGAATTTTATTGAGTTTGGCCTTAGTTGTCTCAGTTCTGATGCAAGGCCACCAGACCAGGGAGCCGTACAAGAGAGATGGACGTACTATCGTCGCGTAGAACCAGTATACCACAAGGGGTTCTGGAAGTCGCAGAGGGACCACAGAGTGACATGACCGCCGGTTAAGACCTCTGGCTCTGCGAGACAGATTCAGTAGTACTCGAGTCATCGCTAATCAGTGGTTTGAAGAGCGTGGAAGGATGGTTGGTATGCGTACAGTATCGCGCCGAATATGACATGGCCTTTTTTCTTATCGCACACACTGGGTGCTACCTCTCACAGCTGAGCATCGGCATAACCGTTTGCTCTGGTGTAGAGAAAGAATTATATGCGAACGGGAATATAATCAGGTGGTCTTTAGTGACGAATCCCGCTTCTGTCTGGGGATGCATGATGGTTGATCAAGAGTGAGAAGGTGACGTGGTGAAAGACGTGATCCACAATTTGACAGAGAGCGTCACGTTCACCACACCGTGGGAGTTATGGTTTGGGGTGCTATTGCTTATGGTAGCAGATCACCACTAATTTCCAATAGGCAATAAGACAGCCCGACGCTATATTCAGGAAGTAGTGGAGCCTCATATTATTCCATACCTCAACACCATCCAGAACCCGACTTTTCAGCAAGACAATGCCAGACCGCATGTTGCCAGAGCATCGTTAGCCTTCATGGATCAACATCGCATCAACCGTTTACCTTGGCCACCACGATCGTTTGACCTATCTCCAATTGAACATGTTTGGGACATGATAGGTCTTAGGCTCTCGAATTTGCATCACCCTCCACAGACTTTACCAGCTCTTACACACGAAGTTGCAGTAGCCTGGAATGAGATACCCCAACAAGATATCGACCACCTTATCACCACGATGGCCCGGCGTGTCAATGAGTGTATATGGAATCGTGAATGCTTAACAGATTATTGAACCAGCTTCTGCAGTCAATTGACGAATCAAGCTGAAAGTTTTATCATTTTACTAGTAAGGGACAGTGAACGTAATATATGACAAAAATTATTAAAATCGGATAAACATGCCCAGATGTTTACCTTTTTTTGTAACCCAGTATATTCTATAGCATGGCCTATATTTTCCTAATCATTCCAATATTGTTATGGTTTTCACTTATAAAACATGGAATATCTCAAAAAATACTTGGTTTAGATGTAGGGAATGCTTAATAAAATTGAAAAGACATCAAGAGACCCGTTGAATAGAGATATAAAATACATTAAATTTTTCGAGAAAATTATATCCTTCCATTTTGACTCACCCTGTATATCCCGGTTTATAGATATACGTGAAAAATACTGGATACGAATGTCTACCACTGTCTCGATCACTCAGTATCATAAAACAGTTTTTATCTAGAGTGTGCTTAAGATAGGGGAAGCCAAATGTACAATGATTTTAGTGAAAAAGTGGCCATATTTTCCGAAATGCCCGGTACAAATTCCTGAAACCATACTTTCTCAGAATGACCAAGAAAAGGTGCTTCTGAAGATCAACAGAAATATATGGTGTCGCAGTTAAAAATATACAAGTTTATATTGTGTGTATCTATATAGTTATATATTTAACATTTTTCTGCAGCTCTAATAGTAATGAAGATATTGAGCTTTGACACACTATTTGGACAGCCTGTATATTTCTTCAACGTGCATTCTATTGGTATCCACATATTTCGAAAATGTTCACATTTATCGGTATTTTTATAACCTCAATTGCTTCAGGTGATTCTTTTTCCTAATATTTGCCTATGCTATGCCTGTTCATGATTATTTCAAAGATTTAGGGCCAATTTCACCGACATTAATATTTGACGGTCAGTTGAACCAATAGGAAAGGATCTTATCGAAATGCAATTTGACGAAGTTGTCAAAGCTCTCTGAATATCAGTGATTTCTACTGAAATGTTGAATAAAGTCGTGAAAAAATAAGGGTACATTGTAGATGTAATATTATGTCTTTGTGCTTTAGAATTAGGATAACTTTTATAGAATTTCAAATTTTTATCATTTCACAAAAGACGGTCAGTTATTTAAATGGACCAATGAAAATGAAAGAAATAATAGGTCGATTTTCTAGCTATTATATCTGGTAGTATGTTTTCACTGTTTTTGACGACTGTTCATGCATGGCAATCTAGGTTTGCCTGTATATCACGTACAGGGTGTTGTATATAATACGTACCTGTAGAAATGTATGTACTGATTTTTGTTATTTTGAAAAAAATGTAAACAAACAGCACATTCTGCATTTCTGGGTTCTAAAACGTCGATATTTGTAAAAGTATGCGCATCCACCTATTATTCATCGTCTAGATAGTATAAGTCAGAATCAAAAATACCTATTTATGAAAATATATCTCCAAACATTGTTATATTTTCTTATTTCTATTATTATAACACGTCTGGGATATCAATTACTTTTAAAGTGTAGTGATCTGCACATCTGCGGTGTTGCCGAACCAGCAAAAAAAAAAGCGGAATCCGTAAATAGTGTCGTTGAATTCGGTATAAGGAAAATGCCGTTCCAAGATCAGTGGTAGATAAAGGACCCTTGAGTCATGAAAAACGTCTGATATTGTATTTTGCGCGCACACAACATCTTTTTTGGGGGCATAGTTCTATATTACAACTTCTGCAATGTGCATACTGGTCGATCTTTCGAAGTACTTTGCAAACTCGGTTTTCCATTGTTGCTTATAGGATTGTGAATATTTTTCTGTTTTGCACCTGAACCCATGAACTCACCTCTCATTTTATTGTAATACTTATTTTGAAAACAGACAGGTTTCGGTTTCTTTATCACTTGTCCGGTGATGAGGTAATGACGGTAATCTATCAGTGTGTACCCTTTGTATGCACAAAAATCAATTCAGGCAAGCGGAGTAAGGGATGAGGATGTACGTTCGTAATCATAGGCAACCCAAAGTGTGTATGCATATGTATGGATAATGGGGCATAAAACTATGAAGACTACATAAAATTATTTTTTAGCTTTATTTTTGGTTTCAGCTCTTTTTCGCTAAGTTTAGAAATATTTAAATTATTTTGAAAAATCATAGAGAATGATGTTATCGGTAAATATTCTCTTTTCGGTAAAAATACCGAAAAATCCGGTTCAAGTCCATGCATAGACAATCTGAAATTTGCAATATGAATTTATATTCTAAATTCTATGCATATCCGTTCATATTTGTCA